GGGGGGGGGGTAGACCGCAAACGGAGCCCGCTTATGAAAGTCGTGTGATGACCAAACTACGCAGTGGCAGAAAGAAAACTCAAATCCCAGGGACCCACATTAGCGCAGAATCCTTGTGCTCGCACTTGGCATGTTTCTGATATGCAACATCGACGACACCTTCTGCGTATCCGCCAAGAGCTGTTTCAAGTTGACGCTGTTTAGCGTGTTCGTGGTGTACAATTTCACGGGCCTATGATCATGCACAGATCAATTATATGTACAAATCACTGTAGTTCCAGCCCAGAATATACCCGAATTTCCTTTGCGACTACGGCGATCCAGAATGGTGTGCATTCAAGGGTAGACTCTTGGAGCCAAAATAATGATCTCAAACGAGCACACGCTACGGCCAAAATAAATTGCTTTAATTGAATTCTGATTGGTGACCTGTAAGTGCGGCGAGATCTAATTGAGTGGCCACGTTGAGGCAGTGTCGCCTTTTTATCACCATAGCTTCATGCTTTCCCAAAACAGTGAAGTCGTCAAGATTCTGCCGAGATGTCTTAACAGCAGTGATATAGCAGCTTCTAGCCTGGATTATGTCTGAGAGACAAGCGGAAACCGCGCGCATGCACGTGCACCTAAGACGCTGCAAGATGGACTTGCAAACACGCACACAATCAAGAAGGAACTTAAACATAAAAGGCACAAGAGCTAACAGACTCAGGAGTTGATTGGCCGCGTTTGGGAACACCAGATGATTCATTTGGTGCTCGATGTTAGAGACTTGCAATAATGAAGTCATGAAGATGCCATTTTCTTTCGGCAGAAAAGTCTGACTTGCGTACTTAAAAAAGCTCCACCCTCCAGATCGATCAGCCGCGCCCTTAAGTAAATGCACAACTTCTTGCATGGCAAAGTCAACTGGTCTTGGAAACATTGAGCTCGTGGCTGCAATTCCCGCTGAAGATCGAGTTTTGGCTTCCACCATTGCCAGGGGAAGAAGCCACGAGCCCCCAGTCCGCTGACAGCACTCCACAGAGAGGCTCAATAGTATGACATCAAAGTCACTAGGATGATCGCAGCATACAGGCTGCGATGATCGACCAGAGGTCGTATTCAGATCCCAGCCTCTCAGAGCATCCCGAATCAACAGTATCATCAAACGTATATGCCAAATATCGTCCTCCAATGCAGCAGCAGTCCGAGCACGAAGAACAACGGCGCCTGCACCTGTAAAGTTGTGTAAAGACGCAAACAAGAACATTACGCGCCTGCTGCAAGTGCTGTCGAGTCGAAATGAGCTCCAACGTGGAGCACACGCTCGAGGATGATTTCCAATGCAAATGATCCACTGACGCGCGCTTGCCTAACATCAAGTTTGCAAGGAGGAAAACTCGCATCGAGCTCAGACTGTGTAATGCGATCTTCAATGAGCTTGAAGTACCACTGAATTTCGCGCTCACAGCTGGTGTGAAAATAGCCTCGCGGAGCTTCGAGATACATGGATAAGAGATATTCGATCGTGAAAGTAAATAGACGTGGAGGTAAAAACACGCCATCAGGGTGGCTGGTGGCAATCCAATTGCGATCCGGTCTTGAAAAACGCTTGGATTGATGTGCGACTCGCAATGATTGCAATAACGTAATCGTTCGACTTATACAATTTGACATTGGTGATGGGTGCGCAGGACGCATCCGGGATGTAAGCTGGGCCAGCGCAGATGAAATTTCGGTTCTCTCGCATCTGAGGAAGTTTTTCTCAGGATATAATTCAGCCGTCAATAGTATCGTCACACTAGCAGACGTTTCCCATTGTGTCATAACAACCGGAAGCACTGAGTTGCCTATTCCCGCCACATGTCAAGCAATCGAGACCGCAAAGTTGACATCAGCAAAAAATGAAACAAAGAATTTGCTAGGGGAAGATGGGTACCACATAATTGCTTACGGTATTTTTTTATTGGCCGATGTTAGTAGGAACCGCGCAACTTGATCTTCACCCGGTTTGAACCATTCGCCGTGGATACACTAAACAGTCGAGAATTGTAAAGAAAGGAAATAATTGCATTTACGGCAGTACAATATGTTTCCGGTAACGAGTTAGTGAGTTTAGACCTATCATCATCCAGCTAAATAAAACTGCTGGTTGTGGTGGTCCTCTCCCAGCTCGCCGCTTCCCCGGGGTCCGGGGTGGCGCGGCTTATATTTTTTGGGGTCATATGGTTTCTCCTAACATCCAAGGGTTGGGTTTGAATGATGAGTTGCTGGAGCATTATAGGAAGGAGGTGGGTGAGATGGCCTTGGGTATTTTGGATGGCAAGCCTTTCAACTCGCCCGTCCATGAGGGCATACTCCTGACTTGTATGTTGGAAATTCTACCCTCCTAAGACTGGTCGGCAACCTATGGCCGCAACGGCCACACTACTGGAGCAGAACCTGCAGTTGCGACCTGCACCCGCTCCCCCGAGAAGGAGCTCTAGGATTGAGCATACCCCTAACAAGCACTACGTAAAACCCAGCAATCTCAATTAATCAAGCTATGGACGATCCCCGCGACTGCATTTTGGCTCGAGGGAGGGTGTGCGTTGGCACGATTTGGGAGAAGGGGGGTGAGATTAAGACTGCGAAGTTTCAGGTCTGAAGACCATGGGGTTGGGCGCGCGCGCCATCGTCTAAAAGGCCATAATATGTGCGGTGTAGTGAGGGTGAGGGGTCGCATCGCCGCGATCGTCGCGCGCGAGCCCCAAACTTGGTAGACTCGACCTATGAATGTATCAGAGTGCCACCGTAAGCTGTAGCCC